ACAGCAACTTGGTTTTACTGCTTGTAACAGAAATTGGAAGTAAATTTGAAACAAGGTAGACCTGTACTTCTCTTGCACATAAAAAAGACCCAGAGCTGCTTATGTTGGCTTCCTGGTGTCATCAGGTTCCTATGTCTTTCCTTCATCATCTTTAGAATCAGAGTTCTTCAGCTTCAGAGGAAGGCACTGTATAGAGAATACAGTGTGAGCAGTGCTTCCCAGTGCTGTGCAGCATGCGTCCCTGTGAGGGTCCGCTGGCGTTCCCAGTGTCCCAGCATGCTCCTGGAGCGCCTCCCTCTCACCTCTGTTTCAGTCGACAGGGATGGCAAAAGGTGCTTCTTTCACTCAAGTCCACTCACTCCTTTGGAGCATCCCTTTACCTGCATTTCACTGGCCACATGGGAACCTGGAGAGTACAGTCCTTTTCTGGTACATTGCCATCCCAAATAAAATTAAGTGTCTTCACCAAGAAAGAAAGGGAGAATGAATGAATATTGGGTGGCCACTGTTAGTGTCTGCCATGAACATCTGTGCACTTAAACATGTTAAGAATTGGATATAGAGGATCATCTGGGTTTTAGACTGAGGTGCAGGAGGAAGAACCACTTATTTTTACCATCTCTTTTACAAATGGAGGAACTGAGGTCCTGATATATCAGATAATACCTGTTCATAGTCATGTAGCTGGCAAGTGATGTACATGATCTGTGTGTAAACTTCCTTTTATACTTGATCTGAAATTTTGATGGGGGAAAATCAAATATGGGGAAAAGAAAACTTCTTAGCGAATATTCTATATTTTCATTTTATAGATATAGTTTAATTCTCCTTTGCTAGTTTCTGTAGGCTTTTTCTATTTAAAAAATTGGATAGAAAAAAACATAAGTGTCACTAATATATGACTGGCTGGTGATATCCAAAAACTTTTAATTTCAGTTTATTCAGGCAAATAGCCTGTCCTAAAGAAGCGTTATTGTGAATACAAAGTGTTCCTTCAGTAGACATTTTGACAGACATGGGGTGTTTTGATTTACTTATGGGGAGTACTTATTCCAGACAGCTAGTGAACTGATTAGCTGTATTCAAAATGGCTTTTAAAAAATCTCCTTATGCACTTGCATGTATTAACTTAAAAGAAAAAGTAGGGGTGGGCACTAAAGCCTATTTAGAACCAAAGAAAGTGGCACAAGCCATCTATTTCCCTGCTCCCATTTGTAGCCACAAGGTAAGATACTCTCATGGCCTGAAACTTTTTCTTCAACATGCATGTGATACTGGTGTCTGCTCTTCTTTTTTAAAATTTAATTTATAGGGGTGACACTGGTTAAAAAGATTATATGGGTTTCGGGTGCACAATTCTACAACACGTCATCTGTAACCCTGTATTGTATGGTCACCACCTCAAGTCAAGTACTGGTGTCTTCTCTTAGATCATCATTTGCTCTTGCCTCTAGCTTCTATTTCATCTATAACAGGAATCAAAAGAGACAGAGAAGTCACTTTTTTTTTCAGAAACAAAGAAAACGATATTATGGCCATATTGGATTTGGCACAGTGCTTGGTTCTCTCTTGCTGTTGGCTTTTTATTCTCAACTGAAGCTGTTTGCTCCTCTGTAATTCCTCTCTCAAGATAGCTAGAAACCAGCAAGTCTACTTTTCATAGGCTAAATTACTCCAGAGACCCCATCAGAGACATTTAACTATTTTTTCATTTTTTTTTAGCCAATATAAAACATAATTCTGAAAATCCCCAATTCTCATTAGGGAGAAAAGTTCTATATGAGTCATCAGAATATTTTTATGGACAGATCTTAATGATAATTTACCTAATTTTAGATAAAACAGTTCATACTTAGTAATATTTTTTTCTTTCTTTTTCCAAAGTAAGGTAATCATAGAGTGCTTTGAACATTGCCTATATGTCATTAAGTTTTCAGCTTTTAAAAATGACCAAGTGATGTATTCAGTAAACCACATTACCCCATCTCTGAGCCTCATCCCTCTCGGCATGTCCTTATAAAAATAGCCTTGTCAGAGTAACCCTGGAGTTAACTAGATTAAATCAAGTACTGTTGAGCTTTGCACACCTTGGTTTATGCTGTTATGCCACTGAGGACCACCCGCTTCCGGCCACCCTTTGGCCCACTGCTTAACCCAGAAACGACTTCAGATCCCCGGAAGGAGTGGCTCTGAACTGGCACTGCTGATTGCCAGGGCAGCTTGCTAAAAATACAGGGTTCTGTGTGCCACCCGCAGGTTCTGATCAGTATATGGGTTCAGGAATCTTGAGTAAGCTCACATAATTATGATGCAGTCAGATTGAGACCTCACTGCTCCTAGGGATGCCAGTCTGCCAGCTTTTTAATGTGGCAGTCTCCTTTCTGCCTCATTCACTTACTCTCCCTCTCCCGCTCTGTATTCCCCACTTTCATGTGTGTCCTAGACTGTGCAGGCAAGTGAAGTAGTTTATCTAAAAACAATAGACTATAGTTACAGAGTAGTAGATTCCTTGGGGCAGTAGAGAGGTAGAAAGTGCCTAATTTTTACATTGTTCATCCTTTTAATGCAGGATATTTTAATGCAGTAGTTCAGCATAGTCCACAGCATCATCATCACCCTAGGTCCTAGGGGTTTGTTAAAAATGCAAATTCATAGACCCAACTCCATACCTGAATCTGATACTGTGGAGGTGGGCGCCCAGCAGTCAGCATTTTAGCACATCCTCCCTGTAATTCTAAAGCAGGCTAAAGTTTAAGGACCTCTCTTTGTCGTATAGCCATTCATTCGGTCCCTGGTAAAATCTTCCTGCAGGATATCTGTGTCCCTTGTTCAGTAGTCACCCCTTCTTAATATAAAGAATGAGGTTCACTTGGAGTTGGGCACAAAATAAGATCCCAGTTCTCACCCTACCCAAGTGGCTTCACTTTCTGGGATATATTTCAGCTCTTCCACCCCAAGCTGCAGCCTGCTTTACGTTCAACCTTCCCTCCATTTCGGCTTCTACCTCCTTCCTTTCCTCCACCAAGTTTTTTATGCCTTTTTTACACCACTGAGGACCACCCCGTTAATTTTAGGAATAACTAAGCAAGATGTAGGATTACAGAAATAAAAAGGCTATGCATTCAATGAAATGCTGAATCTAATACAAAATATAATTCTGAATAGCATCTAATGCTGCTTCAGCTTTTTCTCTGAGGTTTATGATATTTTAAGTATGAAGGAATAAAGTAAAAAGCAATGATTATGTGTAATATGTACTGTACTTATTAAGTGAATGTTGTTTTATACACAGAAAGTATAATTAACATGCCAGTGTTGTCTATCATATTTTCATGAATGCAAGCCTCAGATTCTGCTCTTAAATGATCATTTTTTTAAATTGATATAACAGTTTGATGAGTCATCTCTTCAGCTAAACCTATTTCTTCTCTTGCTACTGTTTATAAGCAGGATTTGAGGGGAAGTGAAGGGGATAGCTCTAGGGACAAATGCTAAGACTATGAAAAGCTTGCAGTAGAGACAAGATGATAGAAACTGTAACGCTTTTGAAAGTTGAATTTTTCTTCTATTTTTGTGTCTTTAGTACCATCATAATCCTTTCTGATGAGTCATATTAGGTGAGCAACTGAGATTATGATGCTTATTTGAGGTAGACTTTTCTAATCATACAAGTACCTGAACATTAGAATAAAAAAAACTATTTTTAGTGCCTTTAAGAAGTTTACTAGTCATATAGTTTATACCATAGTCAATTATTTATATATTTTTATTCCAAGTCTGTTCCTCTTTCTACCAAATTAGTATGCTTTGTGTGCCATAAATGTTTAATTATATAATTTCCTTATTTCATAATAAGATTGCTTTAACTTTTGATGAAAATCCTGCATGTATTCCCTTTTCCTGGGAACATAAAGCGTCTTAGATATAATTTAACATCTTTGATAATTTAGAATTATATGGTCTCTCAGGGTGATGTTTCTTTAAAATACATTTTTATTTTATTTTTTTTCTATATTCTTAGTGATTTTAGAGAGAGAGGGGGAAGGCGAGAGAGAGATAGAAACATCAATGATGAGAGAGAGTCACTGATCGGCTGCTTTCCTGCATATCCCCTACTGGGGATCGAGCCCGCCACCTGGCCATGTGCCCTTGACCATAATCGAACCTGGGACCTTGCAGTCTGCAGGCCGACGTACTATCCACTGAGCCGGACCAGCTAGGGCTAAAATACATTTTTATTGATTTCAGAGAGGAAAGGAGAGGGATAGAGAGATAGAAACATCGATGAGAGTAAATCATTGATCAGCTGCCTTCTGCACGCCCGCCCACTAGGGATTGAGCCCACAACCCAGACATGTACCCCAACTGGGAATCGAAACGTTGACCTCCTGGTTCATAGGTCAACACTCAACCACTGAACCACGCTGGCTGGGCTCAGGGTCATGTTTATGCATGATAACTTCTGTAGACTTGTGGAAATGTAGGAGGTGAAGTATACTTGACTGTAACTGTCATATTGATTCTAGAGTACATCCTAAATTAAAAGTTGTTTTCATGGTGGCCTTTAGGGAGACTGAGTACTCTGAAATTATGTGTAGAATTTTGGGCTTATGTCCCAGGAGAGGTTCCACTGATTAGGTTCTCAAAGAGGCCTTAAAGAGGATTCCAAAAAGATTAAGAACACACTGACCTAAATGATCTGTTTTAAAAAAGTCTCTGACTGTACTCTTTTTTGTGGGGGTGCGGGGAGGGTTCTATTTATAGATAAAATAAAAATAGAGTGTCAATTCAGTGAGGATTCATTAGTGATATTTGGCTTTTCTAAGTGTAACTATTAAATGAGAAGGAAAAATGACATAAAAGGAATTTATTAGAGTTTTATTAATCAGTTTCTTTTTTAACGTTTTAAATTCTAATTTCTCAACCTAAATGACTTCCCTAGGAATATTCAGTGACATTCACTTGCTGGCTATGATGTACAGTGGAGAAATGTGTTACTGGGGATTGAAACATTGTGCCGATCAGCAGCCAGAAAACCAGGGCGTGGACGCAGGTGTTTCTGGAGCAAGCTGCACTACACACAGAGAGCCCTTGGATTTCCGAGAAGTAGGAGAGAAAATTTTGAAAAAGTATGTATCTGTGTGCGAAGGACCCCTGAAAGAACAAGAATGGAACACAACAAATGCAAAACAAATTTTAAACTTTTTTCAGCATCGTTCTAACTCGTAAGTTTAGTCCTTTTCAAACAGAAAAGCAGAAAGACCCATGAAATGGAAACATTCCAGAAAAGAAGACATATTGACACTAAGAATATCACACTACATAAAGATGCCCAGCGTGGTTCCCTTTTAAAAATGCCATCACCTAGTTCATTATATATTCTTAACTCTGTGAAGGAACAGTTCTCTCATTTCTAGAACGGCATGTATGTTATTCTAACTCAGCCTGAACTACGGATATCCTGTAACTAATATTAAGGAAGAATCCAATTTAGCTGTACAAAGATTTTTTCCTGTTACTTCAGATTATTATTATTGCTTTAGAGTGAGGAAGAAAGAGAGAGGGGGAGAGAGAGAGAAAAGTCGATGTGAGAGAAAATCTGTTGGTTGCCCCTGACTGGAGAGCAAGCCTGAACCTGGGTTTGTGCCCTGACCGGGAATTGAACCCTCCACCTTTAGGTGTACAGGATGACGCGCCAACCAACTGAGCTTCAGATTATTTTTTTTATTGTGGTAAATTGTAACATAAAATTGACCATTTTAACTATTTTTAGTTCTGTTTATCTTGAAATTTGCTGTGCTTCAAAAGTTAAAGTCAAGTTAAAACAATTCTACACCTCACTGTTTTGGATATATGCTACGCATGTAGAAATTGGCAAAATTATGATGAATATTCAGATTCCTTTGCCAGAATAAGATAAATAATGAAAGACTTCACAAAAGAACTGTTATTTAATTATTTTGCCATGTACTACAAATAGCATTTAACTCTTTTATCCCTCCTATTGGGCATTTTATAAAAAGTTAAGATGATTTTCTTATCTTGGTAAAAGAATATGCATGGTTTATCAAATGAGTAATAAGGATAAAAACCAAATTAGGTTGCTGTTAGCTCATATGTCTGCAAGGCACATCTTTTCCTATGTATTGACATTTTTATATGTTTTTGTCTTTAATAGTAGAGTGAGTGAGCAAGGCAGAGAGCCTAACTGCTGTCTTGCATACAGTCTGTCTACCTCTACGCCAGGACCTCATCACATTCCCCAACCTACTCCATGGCCACACCTGGAGGTCACCATCCTGAGTTTCTCTTTCTGAAATCTTAAATTTTAGTGATTGATGATAATTCTCATCTGCCTAGCTTTTCTACCTCTTCATGTTTATTGATTCTTTTCTCTACTTACTTCACAGCCTCCTCCTCTTGACTGCCGCCTCTTCTCCTAAACTATCCTATCAGCCCCTTTCAGATGTTCTCCCTTCCTTATCCAGCCTCCGCCTTGGGGGAACTGACCCTGCGAATCCGTCTTCCCCTGGGCCTTTACCCTCATCATTCTGTGAGCCCTCAACATTGAATCAGTTCTGTCGTTCACCTTTTCTGGATGCTGCGTTCCATGCAAAGTACACGCAGCCCTTCAAACTGGAACTACTTTAAGTGTCTCAGCCTCAGCTTCAGAGGAGCCCTCAGTGTGAGCCTGTGTCTGTGACCAGTGTGGCCCCTCCCTGTCCCACTGAGGCTGGTCCAGACCACGTTTCCTCTGCCCCCTCCCCTCACACATGGTTAGGTCCCGTCTTACAGGAAACCGAGACTGAGGTCCGTTTCTATTTGCCAGCTTTGCCCGACTCATTTAGAGGAAAAGAGGAGCCTCCTCCCTCTTGAAGACCGATCTCCACCTGTCCTGTTGGCCGTCTTCCTCGTTTCCCCTGCGGCTGCTCTCTGGGCCTACCCTGCCGTGTTGGTCTTCCCTAGAGCCCACCCTCTTTCTCTCCCCCTTCGCTCCCCTCTTCCTTCCGTCTTCTTCCTCCTCTTTTTACTGATTCTCCACACTCTCATGTGACACCCTTCAGAGCCATGGCTCCTGTTGCTCCTGGAATCTTGCCATCCCCTGTGGTGACAGGGATCCACTGCTTGACTGTTGTTTTCTGATTGGTGAACTTCGTATTTTAAACATTTATCTTTATACATAATACTTAACACATCTTAGGCCATTGGTAAAGTGTTTTGAATTAATAAGAGGCATGATTCTAAGTGCCGAGCTCTGCACAAAAGGGTGGCTGCTAGATTCCACACTGCCATGCCCTCTGCCTACACCAGTGTTGACAAGGCAAAGCGCACCTCAGGAGTAAAGTGTTATAGAGTTAGAGCCTGAGAAAACAAGAGAACTTTCTTTAAAAGCTGGGAGCTTCCATTTTGCCTCATGACCTTGTGAACCATGCGGGTCTCACTGCTGGTGCAGTTAGGAGGGTGCTCTCAGGTGCTTTTTACTGAGTCTACCCCACACCCAATTGGAGGATAATTTTCCATCCCGCACACAACTGGAGGATAATTTGTATGCCATGACCGTTATAATACTTTTTACTCTAGTGTATTATAAAACAATGATCACATTTTTGTATGTTAAAGCCTGCTAAGTAAATCCTGTTTCATTTAGAATGAAGTCACTTCAAGATACCAAATATTCCACATTAGGAAGGTACTGTAATTCACTTACCAACAACTTTTATGTGCCTTCTACGTGCCGGGTTTGTCCTGGCACTGAGGAGATAGAGCTTCGTAAAGCACCCTCTTTCCAAGTTTGTATTCCTGTGAAGGAAGCTGACACATTTTAAGAAGTAAGTGGGTAGCATGTTAAGTGATGAGTGCTGTGCAGAGGAAAGCAGGGTCAGGGCTGGTGTGACCGGAGAGGAGTGCTATTTGTAGGGTGGATGGGAAGGCACCGCCAAGCACCTATCTACTTTAGCATTTGTGTCTTCAATTTCCACCCCTTTGGTTAAATGCCTTGAACATTCAGTCCATTTATAAAGCTCTTCTTTCTGATGGAAGTTCTGATACTGCAATAAGAAGGGAGTCACTGCGTGTGACCATGTCATTTTATTACATCTATAGGCTGCTCTCCAGTGTGGGCTTGACCGATGGGTGAGCGATGACCTGAAGGCCTGGTGCATTTTTTTACACTTGGGTTTCTCCTTTGGGTTCTCTGATATTTACTAGATCTTAAACTCTGTTAATGGGTTTTTCATAATCTTTGTTTGTATAGTTCTTTCACTATATGAATTTTCATATGTCAACTAGGCTTTGAGATTTAAAGGCCTGTCCACCTGGCTGCATTTGTAGGGTTTCTGGCTACTGTGAATTGTATCATGCTGATTAAGGTGCAAATCATGACTAAAGACTTTTCCCTTATTCCTTTGCATACCATAGAGTGAAGTGGAGTGATGGCTAAAACCCGACAATATAATTACATTCCTTCCTTTACCATCCACTGTGAATCCTGTGGTGTTCATTAAAGTGGGAGATGTGTCTGAAGCATGCTCAGATTAATTTTAGTGGCATTTTAAAGACCCACAGCTGGTTGACATGTGAGTTTTAGTTTGCTTATCACTTCTCTCTCTACCTTTCAGAGTTCTTTTTTCTGGCTCACATAAGATACCCCATCTGCCATAGAATCCAGGATTCTGTAGTTCTCTAGTATCACTTGTATTATTATTTTTTGAAGATCTAATTGATTTTATTAACAGATTCATGAACTGGGGACTATTCCATCTAGGAACTAGAAGGTGCTCCCTTTTTTTTGGTATTATATTTTAGCACAATATGAGATATATTATGAAAGTATTACATTAGAATAATTTTAATGTATCCACAATTAAAGTATGTGTTGTATGTTCATGCTGGTGTTCTCTGTTGTTATTGTTTGTTTTCCTACTTCTAGTGAAAACTGCCAAGTAAAATGTTTTAGAGCATATGAATTTTTAAGAAAAAATTAAACCATGTTCCCACAGTTGTATCTTGTTCTTTGTTTTCTTCTATATCTGGGTGTTGTATGAGAATGAAACTTTTATCATCTGAGTTTACTATTGAGGTCTGAATATTATTTATTCTGGTCCTAATAACGTTCAGACAGGAATATAAGTTCTGTGCCAGAGGCCTGAGTTTGAATCCGAGCCCTCTCATTTCTTAGCTGTGTGACTACATAAATTACTTAGCCTTTCTATGCCTTAATATCTCATTTAACACAGGAAAAATAATAGAACCTCACAGGTTACTGAAAATTAACGATCAGTGTCTAGCACATGGCAAGAGTTCAAAAGTTAGTTATTACTACTACTGTTTTCTGCCATGTCTAGTTCTGTGTATCGGCATACCTCTTCATTGTGCTGAAAACAGTAGTACTCATCAGCCCGAATAATTGAGTGACAAACTCTGGCCAGGGAGCACTCGTTGCCATGTTCCCAGTTTGAATGGTGCCAGCCATTCCAAATGGGATGTTGTAATCAATTATTGGTTGCTAATGATTTGGAACCAGATTATATAGAGCTCAATGTAACTATTATATCCATTCTTAATGGAACTTTCAAACTATTGGACTATTGCCCAGCTGGTTTGCCTCTGTGATTGAGCATTGACCTATGAACCAGGAGGTCATGGTTTGATTCCTGTTCAGGGCACATGCCCAGGTTACTGGCTTGATCCCCAGTGTGGGGTCTGCCTGAGGCAGCTAATCAGTGTTGATGTTGATGTTTCTTTCTCCTGCTCCTTCCTCTCTCTCTAAAATCAATAAAAATGAAAAAAAATAAAACGATTGGGCTATTTTGGGGGGGAGGTGTACTTTTCTTATTGGATAGAATAAAAGATAATGCCATCTTGCTCTCTTTTAAATAATCCTAAAGATTTTAAATTATATGTTAATGATAACATTAGATTGATATGTTCATTTATGAACTTTTGAGCAGAGAACTTTGGAACAGATTAAGTGATGTAATCTATTCGAAATAGACTGATACATAGTACTAAGTATTTGTGCGCTTCTTACCAATAGAGACCATACCCATTTCAGTATAATCGATTATCTTGTAATGTGGGCAGTGGTAACTATAAAGCTCTGTTTAACGCAAGGCTGCACAAAGGGAGTGAGATGGACACGTTTTGAGAGAGAAAAATCTCACTCGTGGGATTTCAACCATACCGTATCTGGTTTCTTATTCCAGCCGCATTTTGCTGCCCTTCAATGAGGTACGTTGAGCAGTTTTTTAAATGCACTTATATTTCCATATAGTGGACCTAGCCGCCTCATTTTGGCATAAGATCCTTGGTGACTGGGCTCCTGACCACCTCTCTCATATCAATTCATGTTAATCCCTCCAAAGAGCAAATGATAAGTTGGGGGCTGAAAAACAACCAGCCAAAAACCCCACTAGGTACCAAGAAGGAAGCAATAGGTTAGAAAGGCCCGGAGAGGGGAGGAGGGCCACCTAGGGAACAAGGGGGAGTCTGGGCCCAGGTAGTGGAAACGTCACATCCTGCAGGTAAGGATGTTATAGAGGGGGCAAGAGATTTGGGGCCCGGGGAGCGGGTAGCAGAGTGCTCTTTGGAACGATTAAGCGATGTGGTCTATGTGACATAGACTTACACACAGTTCTAAACACGTACTGTGTGCTGAGGCTGAGGCCTGGCGTGGAGGGGCAGTGACTGTTCAGGAGCTTTCAGCTCTTCTCCAGTTCGTTTCCTTCTGGGCTGGAGGTGAGCTGGCTCCAGGGGGCTGGGCGGGGGGCGGGG